CATACCCCAACTTTATATCTTATTCTGCGTGCGCCGGGTAAGAGAAAGCCTTCTATGGCGGGATTGTTTCGGATTTTACAGGCGAGAGTTTCAACACATAAAATATTCAACAAAGGGGATAGGGAATCCCCCTGTCTCACTCAGCGAGACAAAGGTATCGCTTCAGTTAACCATTCATTGAAGATGACTTGCATGTTAGCACCATTCTACAGTCTGCTGACCCAGTGGGAGAATGATGAACCAAAACCAAAAAGTTTTAAGATATTCAGTAAAAAGGGTGCGATTAACCCGATCGAAGGCTTTCTCTTGATCGTGGCTGAGTAGAATGCCAGTTTCGTTAGTACGCTCAATATGCTCTAAAATATCCCGCAATAGGTGTAGGTTTGACGTAATTTTCCGACCAGGCACAGAACAGGCTGGATCAGGATCAACGATAAACTGTAAAACTATAGAGAGACGGAGAGAAATAGACTTGGAACATATTTTATAATCGAAATTTAGTAAGGAAATTGGTCTCCAGTTTTTAAGATCTTTGCGATCCCCTTTCTTGAAAATGACGCGAGTATTACTAGTTTTCACAGACTCGCACATCTGTCCAGCTTGGGAGCATGCATTGAATACCTGGCACAGATATGGACCCGAACGGTCCCAGAGCTTCGAGTAAAACTCGACCGAAAGGCCATCAGGGCCGGGAACTTTGTTTATGTTTATTCTATTCAGAGCGACAGTAACTTCCTCGTGCGTCAAGTCACCTTCGCAAGAGGATGCCTCATCGGACGTGAGTTGACGACAGAAGGAAGATGAAACAAAGGTTTGCATCACGACATCTACCGGCTGTTCGGAAAAGAGTCGAGAGTAAAAATCTACGTGCGCTTTCGCAATTTCCTCTTGGGAGAAGACATCATTGCCGTCTGAATCGTACACTGAAGAGATGTGCGATCTTTGCGCTTTACTTCCCTGTAAATTAAAGAAATATTGGCTGGGGCGTTCGCCCTCTTTTAACCATTTGGCACGACTACAAATCAGAATTCCTTCTGCTTTTTTGGGACGGGGAGCTCTCAGGCGACTTTCCGTATTGGACATAGAATCGGAGACGGTTGTGTCACCATTAACTAGACGTTGCCGAGGTCGAATTAATTTACTGGTTAAGAAAACTTCATCTCTATGTTACCGAATCCGTTTCTTACGGGAAAAGGAGATCGCCTTTTCCTTAACGGATCGTTTTAGACACTCCTACTAATCCTGGATGCAAACAAAAGCATCTAAGAAACGTATGTGTTTATCGATTAAATTATCTATAGCAATGCAGAAATCTTTGTTTTTCAAAAGGGAGTTGTTAAAATTCCAGGACCGCGTTTTATGCTACCGGGAAACTCAAAAACAAGGGAGACAGAGTCATGATCAGAAAATGAACAAGGAAAGTTATTACACTTCGTCTCAGGAGAGAGGAAATCCTTAGAGATGAGAAATTTATCGAGTCTGCTCGCAATTGTTGAGGTGAAACTGAACCACGTAAATTGCCTTTGATTAAGGTGCAATTTACGCCATACATCGATAAGACTGAAAACACTTTTTAATGACTCGTAATCTTTATGAATAGATATGTTGCCCCCAAATTTGTCTAGAGCGTGATCATAACAGTTAAAATCCCCGCCAATGACAGTCACCGAGGATGGAATAAAAAAGTCATGTAGAGAGTCCAAAAACACTTTTCGTTCCGATGGATTGTTCGGATCGTAAATATTTACTAAGTTCAGATCAACATCGTTGGTACTGATCAGGATACTGACGATACGACCGTGCGAGTCTTTCTTCCAAGATATGACCTCATCTGAAGTTCTAGGGGAAATCAAAGCTGCCACTCCGCCTTGTCGGCCGATGGCAGGGGACCAGAAACTACGTCCCGGCCATCGATGAGACACGGCCTTGATCAGAGACTCAGAACTAATGAACGTCTCTTGTACAAAGCAAAAATCAGAAGACATCTTTTCAACTAAATCAAATAAATAGTTGTGGGTGAGGGGATTCCCCATGCCCCTCGCATTAATAGTTAATGATTTGAAAGATATTTAGGAAGAAAGACTCGCTTCAGAAAAAACGAAATTAAAGGAATTACTTTGTTGTTTTTTTTTTCCTTTTTTTTTTTAGTTTCTATTTCTTCCGTTCTTTTTTCCTTGGGTAGATGTTTCTTTGCGAGAGAGAGAGAGAGAGAGAGAGAGAGAGAGAGAGGTCGGAGGATTTTCGTTTCAGGTTGTGTGTAGTTTCCATTTCGTTTTCAGAGGTGTCTAAAGAAGAGATGGGTGTTGGGGTTTATGATTCTACCGGTATCGAGGTCTCCTCCCAAGAAGAGATTGAAAAAGCTTATATCGATTTCTACACTCAGCTCCTTTCCGAAGAACCGATAGATGCTGCTCTTCAAGAAGATCTTTTATCTTTTCTATCACCGAAATTAATTTTTGATCAGGCGTCATCTTGTGAAGGCGAGATCACGCTTGACGAACTTACTCTCGCTATGAAAAATATGAATGGGAATAAATCGCCTGGCCCTGATGGCCTTTCGGTTGAATTCTACGCTAGATTTTGGGATCGTTTAGCTCCACATTTATGCATGTCGAGTCTTTAATGCATGCTACCAAACTGATCAAAGGTAAATCTCTTAAGTTAGCCTCAGTAATTTCCAATCTAGATGATCGCGAATCAAAATCCTTTTACTTGGCCAGATATTTTTTGTAGGCTTCTAGGCTTGCCTCCTCTTGCTCGGGGTGGAGCTCTCTTCGAGATAACTCCGCCCGGAGTACACTGATCTTGGCGTCCTATTAGGAGAGTGTTCTCTCCGCTCTCACCACTCTACGTGGGTTTCTCTCCCGCAAGGAGTGGTACGATTTTGAATTTTCTTCCAAGAAATGTTATCGAACCCTCTTGAAGGAAAACTCCACGTCTCTAATTCTTCCTCGGTTTTGGACTCCCTTCCTTCCGATTGACTTTGATCTTGACAAATTTTGGAATTTAGTGCGAGATGACTTTTCTGAAAATTATAAGAACGACATACTCTGGAAAATTATACTTAGTGCTATTAAGGTCCGCGATTCTCCAAAGAATTGGCGATATATCGACTCAGAAAAGTACGCCTTCTGTTCCCGTAAAGAAACTATAGATCACTGTTTTCTCAAATGCCCCCGTGAGAAATCTGTATGGAGCCACTATTCCCCCATTATCTCCTCTGTCCTTGGAACTAGCTTTTTCCCATCCTGTACCTATGTTTTCTCTTTTCGTTGGACCCCGCTAGTCCAAAACAGAATCGTACTGCTCGCTTTCTAATTAAGACAATTCTATACAGCATCTGCAAATTTCGAAATAAATCTACCTTCCACAATGGGAATGACCCCCCTGAGGGTATAATTCGCTATGCCCTCAGCGTGACCAAAAACAGAATTGCGTGCGACTATTTCCGACTCTCGTTATCTAACTTTAGAAACGCTTGGGACTCCCCATCAATTTGTACCATTGATGGGGACAAACGTTAGCCCTAGCCACACCAATATTATAGACTAAGCTTATATTAATACTAGACCTGACTATTTTGGGATTATTTATAACCTTACATTAATATTAGTAATATTCAATACTCGTATATATTTAAGAACTCTTGAACTTTGGAACTTTGGACTGTTTATTAATAGTTAGCGATAATGAATAATATATATATATATATATATGTGTGTGTGTGTGTGTGTGTGTGTGTGTGTGTGTGTGTGTGTGTGTGGTGTTCGGAAAAAAAAACAACTACAGATACATCCCTACGGACCTGTTTCGTGGTTGCCCACTCATCAGGAGATTTTAATGGTAGAATAATTTTACCATTCAAATCCTCTGAAGAGTGGGCAACCACGAAACAGGTCTGTAGGGATGTATCTGTAGTTGTTTTTTACCGACTACCACATATCTATACACAGGAATCTACCAAGCCTCTGTTACACGCAAAAACAACAACACGTCAGAAACGTACATCGGACTCACAGAGAATGACTTCAAAACAAGATACAGAAACCACACCGCATCATTCCGCCACGCTAAACACAGAAACTCTACCGAACTCAGCAAGCACATCTGGACCCTCAAAGACAACAACATCGATCACTTTATTTCCTGGCGCATTCTCTCATCGCACTCACCGTATAACAGCTCAACTAAAAGATGTAACCTCTGCCTCAAAGAAAAATTCCTAATCATCTGCCGGCCCGAACTATCAAACACTAAACAAACGTAATGAACTCGTGTCTTCATGCCGCCACAGAAGCAAAGCCCTCCTACGCAACAACTAAACTGTCAATTTCGCGCTGCATAAATTAGACTAATTAGATCATGCAAATTATATTGTATATAAGCAATGGTAAAGTTTATTCTCATTAAATCCCCTGATGAGTGGGCGACCACGAAACAGGCTTGTAGGGATGAACTTGTAGTTTACTTGTCTTTTTCCTCCCACAATATATACTTCGCTCTACTTCTATGTATTGAGCACTGTTCTACGAAAATCAAGTCACACTTTATATATATATATATATATATATATATATGTGAGTGTGTGTGTGTGTAAGTGTATAAGTAATTAAATGTCAAAATTTTTAACGAAGGGGGAGAAAGATTACGAGAAGGAGAAGGAGGAGAAGGAGAAGGAGTAAAAGAAGGAGGAAGAGAAGGAGAAGCAGGAGGGGGTGGGTAAGAAGGAAAAGAATCATTAAAGGGAAAGGGGGAACAATCTTTTGCTTAAGTGGCATTTTTCAGGGTACATTTTTCGGATTCTTTGTACTGATGTGTTGACTGTACTGTTTCATGAAAGAAAATCAATAGCTACCAGTAAGAATACGACTACGTTTTGAAAATTTGGTAAAAACTCGCAGAAAAGGTTCGCTACAGATCTTTAAATTCAGTTACGATATATAGATAATGAATAGGTACTATAAGTACTTTGAGTCCTATGAGACACAATTAACACTTACCTGACTTTCTGTACCACTGGAGGTTTTTGAAGACTTAAGTTCGGTCTGCACTTTGTCTTTCATCTCTTCCAGTGTCTTTAGTCCCGTGGCAGAGATTCCAAGTGCCTCCATTGCTTTAAACATATCAGGTATGTCGCTGATTTCATCAATTTTCTTCGTTTCACCCGATGCCATATTTATCCGAGATTCAAGGTGCTAACAGGGGGATCAGACTAGGAATAGAAATAAACCCCAGGTCATTCATAACATTAAAGGTATTTAGAGGAAAACTCAATCATCAAACGGCTCAAGGCCGATCACATGACACAGCTCTGCCGCTTAGACTTATTCAATTTTTAAATTCTTTGGACATTCGAAACTTATTGATTTTTATGACTAGTACCTATATATATATATATATGCCTAGCCATATTGCTGTCGGTCTGAGTGAGTGAATGAGTGTCATACGGTTTGATTCGTGTAACTCGATTATAGATCCGAAATAATTTTTGGCAACTTCCGGAGTATTTCAAATCTTTATCGAGTTTGGTAATATATTATTGTAACGCGCCACCTCCGATCAAATTATACAGGTTAGGATCCTAATTCACACAGACTGTCAAAAAAGAAACAGTTATGTAAATATGTACGCTGACGACACAGTTTTATATCTTGCCGGTCCAACTGTACACAGTTAAGTTTCTACATTAGTGTTTATCTATTTGAGTAAATGGCTAGAAAACAATTATCTTGTTCTCAATGTTTCAAAAACGAAGTGTGTACTATATACTTCTCAAAGGCATAAGGAAAGCGTCTGCAATCTAAATCTACATCCTCTTGTAAAGTCCACATCTTGCGAAACTACTTTTAAATACTTAGGCGTGGTGTTCGACAACTTTATGAATTGGAACGCTCATGTGGACTATCTGTGTAAAAAGGTGGCTTCAAGAGTTAGTATCTTTGGCCTTGTCAGAAGTTTCGTAACAAAAGAGGCATCAACATTTGTTCACAACGCTTTAATTCTTCCACTACTTGACTAGTGTGTCACTTCCTGGAGTAACCTACAGCGAGATAAAGATCGACTACAGCGCCTAAAGAATAGATCTGCATGGATCATTACGCGTTGCTCACGCTCATCTGAGGCAATAGAGCGGCTGCACTGGCCGACTCTTTCCAGCAGACGCTCTTATCACAAGGTAAAACTGGCTTTTTTCTTGTCTTCAATCACTAGTCCCTAGTTATTTTTCATTACATTTTACTAGATTTTCGAACATTCACAACTATTCCACAAGGCAAAGTATGAGGCTATCCCTAACAAACGTTAAACAGGCGCAAACATTTTTAACAAACACCATGTAAACCTTTGTGAAGAGTGAAAACATTCAGACGTTCTTCCGACGATCAAGACACTTCTTTTTGGATACAATGAATATATGAAGTTCATATATTTTGAACTGCGGTTGTAGATACCTATGATGCACGATCCTCGCAGTCAAAGAAGAACTCGATCCTCGCACTCAAGAAGCTAGAGTCGCTCTCGGCTATCGCCTCGAGCGACTCTTACGCTTCTTTCGTGCTTAGCAACCTCCCGCGTGCATCCATAACTCAATAGTGTACGCTGTGGTGTTTACCATTTGTTAATAAA